CTGATGGGGGTTGATGCGACCACTCCGCTGTTTTCAAACTAAGTAAGACAGAGACTAGCGGAAAATACCCGTGGATAAATTCGAGCAAGGTCTCGTAACTAGTGTGATGACATGCATGCTACTAGCTTAAGAATTGACCCAATTATGCCAGGTCAAAGGCCACATTTGCCCTAAAATAACGTTTTTCATTTTAACAACATCATAAATACAAGACCATGCCTTTTAGCGGCACAAAACTATACAGGTATGTTTCTCGTTCAACTATTAGTACTTTGGTGTATATTGGTCTGTGTTTTGAGCATCCGTTTATGATGTATTATAAAGCAATGTCCCCCCATCGCGCGCGTTCCACGACTTCGTCGGTTGTCGCCCGCCGTGGCGAGCAGTATCCTAAAAACCGCCTCTGCCACGAAACCGGAAAAAAACCAGGCACACGCTTTTGGTGGTCATCACGCACAATAATTTACCCACTAAATAGATGTAGACAACTGGACATTTGAGCGCGATTGTAGGACATGCCGGAGAGGTATCTTAAAAAGGCCTTAAGGGGGGGGGGAAGTTGCATCGCTCTCCTATTAACTGACTAAGATTAATGCACTTCAGAGGATATCGATGAGGACAGGAGAAAAGAAAAGATTTTTGATGTGCATTTATGCGAGAATGAAAGCTATTTGTCACTTTTGAGACGAGTGCCACCGATATGCGCTTAGGAAACAGGTCATGGACTCTGCCCCGTCGGAATCAGGAACGTATTTTTACAACATATGCAACGGGGATGTCTTCAGCACCATGTCTTCAAAACCATTGACGCGTTTTACCGAAAATGCCTAAAATATACGTTTTTAACACCCCTTTATAGGGCAGAGTTTAAGACATGGCACTTGTAGTTTTGCGTCTCATCGCCGTATACTTGAGTTCAACATTAACATTTTGGGTACAAAATAACCGTTGTAGTCGACGTGCCCAAAGCTCTCCCCGCAAAGAAACCCGTGGTGTTGTCTAGTAAGAAATTTCGTCTTCAATTCGTTTGGCATTTTTGACCAACTCTTCGGAAAACAAGCATGGGCGATTGGGACCGTTAAGTATATGTCAAAATTGGACACTCTCTGCATTTTTCTGCATCCTTAACAAACACAAAAACTGCTCATGGACGTTGAAAAACATTCCATTCAGGTATCTATACCCACTTTCAAAACTGGCACGCCGATTAGATCCATTAAACACACCTTATCGTACGCTACGTTTTCCCAAATTTTCCACTCCTGATTACTCAATTGATGTTTTTGAGCACAATATCTATGAAAAGACAGTTAACACCTCTGTGGTCATTTTGGCCCCCCAGACGACACAATCGGCGTCATAGATTTGGAGATATTATGGATGAAATCGGCACTGCATAAAATCAGAGCGATATCCACCTGATGTTTACCTGCTGCTCACAGCTGATGCCCATCATTAATTAAACATGTATATGTTACAAAATGCTCGTCATGAAAATTGGATCAAAAACGTTCTTACCAAAACAGACCTATAGCATTCACCTTGCAATATTTGTATGCAGACCGGTAAGCCCGCACTTTCCTCCTCCCCTCCCCCTCCCCCTTCCCCCTCCTCCCCCTAGTCCCGCATCTCTCTTGTTTTTACCAAAGATGGCTCTTGACAGGGAATAGCAATCAGCTTAAAATCTTCTCACCTGCTGTAATTCTGAAAATCCCGGCTGTTTCCCTGCGCAAGGGAGACGTTTTTTCTTTTCTTCAAATGAGTGACGAAGTTTGAAAGCTCTACACACATCAGAAGCGTGGCAGACTGTACCGCTGTACCGAACTGCTAAGCGGCACAGCATGCATTCCCTGTCGGTGAACGATGGCCAGCAAGGCTTCTCTCCCAGCCAACGTTGATCCGGGATCTGATGGCTGCCAAACTTGGCCTTATCTGCATATGACTTTGAAATTTATAATCAACAGCCAAGAGACGCTGTGGGACGGAGAACCAATGGTGTAGGCGATGTAAAATGTGAGCACGTTAGATGAGCATAGGCTTGTCCAGAACCATTTCCATTTACGAAAGAAAGAAATGAGGCGCTTGAGAATTTTACTAAAAGAAAAAGCGAAAGAAACAGACACCACCTGCCCCTCTAGTCATAAATCTCCGCGTTATGCTGCATGCTATCCAAATCAGATACAATTTAAGTCATTTTGTCAACTACACATTAATTGTGCGTGTGTTTGTGTGTGTCGTTATGTGTGGGGATGCGTATGAGACAGATATACCCCTGTTATACAAATTTCGATGCACAGCGTGGTTTCCGGACGGTGACACGTTTTACCTGTACCCGAATCACCGATCAGAAATATATTGCAGATACATCACGCATAAACACAGAGAACCAAGTGAGACAGCTAAAATCAAAAGAACTGAGTTTCTAAGGAAACGCTTTCCATGCGTGACTCGGCTTCGCGTCATCGCAATCCAGTGGACACATCCATCCCCAGCGACCATTGAGATATCTTCGCAGAGCAAATGCCTGCGCAGGCGAACCGACACCCAGTCGTTGGCAGGGGCCGATACAGCGACAGGACGCGTTATCAGTTAGTATCAATATCATTAGCTCCGCACGCACGGCGCCTCATTGAACGTCGACTCGCGTGACCGCGTGGCCACGCTGGCCCGGCACAGATGGTGCGGGGTTCTCAATATTCCGAGGCCGCGTGCACACACCAGCGCCGACGATCTATTGTGTCTCGGCGCGACCATTGGCAGGGACGTCAGGGGTCGGAGGTCACGTGCTGACCGCGAGTGGGCGTCTCCCCGGGGCATTCACAACTCAGACAGAGGCGCGAATAGCAGCCACCGAGGTTGGCCGAAAAGCAAGAGGGAGGGGGCAGCTTTGGAGAAAATTATCGTCCGTGGAGATGCAGACTGGAGGTGGAAACATCCCGTACTGAGAAAATCAGCACCGAGTGCCTGGCGCTGCACGGAGAGCGACGAGCGAGGATCAGGCTTGCCCTCTGTTGCCAGCTGCGCGACTTCTCCAGAAGCAGCCGCTGCTGGCGGGGATGACAAAGGAAGCAGCCGCCGAACCGCCGTGCTTCCTGAGACTGAGGGCTGACGTTTGGACGGGACCCTAGCTGAACCCCGCCACAATTCACACGCGTCAGGTTGTGCTGGCCTCGGGCGCCGCATGCAAGCTCACCGACTGTGGAGGCCCAGACTACATGGCGCCCGTGATATATCTGAGACTCAGTGAGATAAATGGGTGTGTCCAATTGCTCGAGCTGTTGGCACGACTGCCAGCTGCGGCTTAGAATTCCCTCGGAGCCCAGAGCTGCCAGTCGTTCCCAGCCCCATCATGCCACCGATGGCAGCAAGTCCGCTGATGCATTCATTAGTATGCATTATGTAACGTACAGCGGACAAGTATTTACATGGAGTAACGCCGCAGACAGATGTAATGGGATAAGATATACACGGAACAATGTCAGCCCTTGTTATTTATTATTAGTGTATTATATTCCATCATTATATGCGTGTACATGCTCGGCGTTGGTGCAAAGATTGTTTTGGACATTTCCCATGGAAGTAAACCTGCTGACCACATCTGCGATTCGCAACAACGGTCTCCCTGCCGCACCATAGGCAATCTGGCTCCTCTCGGGCTCTTCAGGAAGTTGTTGAGCAAGCAAAACTACCAGCGATAAGGCGGCGCCCGCCCAGCATTTCGAATCCCTTTAGACTGCAGTCTTTTCGAGCGGTCTGCAGCGCAACCCAATCGCCAGTGACGTCTGACACGTTCCTGACCGTGCTAAGCTGCAGCGGCCTCATAATTCCGAACCACTCACTCCGGTGGGCGGCAGTAGGAGGACGACGACAGGTTTCATCGCCGGAGGCTTGGCTGTGACGGCCGCAATCGCGCCTCTGGCAGCACACTACGGGTGCTCCTCGGCAGCAAACTGTGGCCCCGCCGGTCCGTCAGAGCGCTGGGAGAACTGCTCAGGACGCTGTTGTGCACCACCGGTATCTGTATCAGCATTGGGTGCCTGGTATCTAGTGTTGATGCAGACATGTAGAGTGCGCATGGATGTTACCAGACGAAACAATGGGCAGCATTTGCTCTTACGCTCTCAGTGGGGCCCTTGTGTACTTATGCCCTTCGCATAAAAAACCCAAGGTCCATTGTGTGAAGAGCCGCCCTAAAAGGCAGGTCCTGAGCGTACCATGTGCGACTGCAGCGCTGGCATCAAAATGGCATGCATCAAAGCGAATGCTAGCTGACGGAATCTCATTAATCACGCCAATTCCATATCACACGGCGACTAAGACCTTGTGTGGAACCCTCCGGCCGGGTGCAAATCATATGTAACTTTCATCTCTTTGTAAGCGGAAGATATTCAAGGAAATGATCAATTCCCTTTAAGGAATTAAAGCGACTAAAGATGATGGCTTCGTTACCAGTTTAAATCCCACCTCCATGCCTATAATCCATTTCCAGCAAGCCGGAAGTGCTGCCCGGCTCGACTCCTCATTGACCCCAGCTTATACGTAATGGCTACAAATTTATACTTTTCAACCTGGCTGCATGTTTGCGTTTCATAACCCACCACTAGCACCATGCCGAAATGTATTCATAAGCTAGTCTGGAAATTAATTTTTAGGGCTCAGATTAAGCCAATACACAACTTCAAATCCAAACCCATTCATCCTATCTCCTTCAGAAAATGGAAATGAAACGCGATTTAGTCCAGCACAACAAAATTTGTGCTCATGATAATCAACACCAGATGATCTTACTTAGCCTTATTTCTGACTGAATAACAAATCCAACGCTCGGCTTGTGACCCGCAGGCGGGCGCCAACCGTTTTCCCACGGCTTGTGACCATCAATCGACAGCTCTTTTCTCCGCCAAGTTTTAGCGATAAGCGGGTCAGACCACTCCCGGCCTGGCGTCGCCTCTGCAGCGCCCCGGCGATCTCTGCGCTGACTCCATGACCTTTGTCGGCAGGCGCCATGACCCCGGCTCGGCTGATCGTGCTGCTGGCCGTCTGCCTGTCGGCAGTGCTCTCTACGGCCGCCGCTAAGGCCCTAGAGAAGGGGATAACGTTCCCGCAGTTCGAGGGGACCGGCGACCGCCAGCTAGACGTGAGTACTGGAGAGAGGGTGTGGGGTTGAGTGTAGGGGGTGGGGCAACAGCTGTAAACATGAGTAACAAGGTGTGCTGTCATGGCCTTGAGATTCATCCCCAAAACGTTCTACGGGTTTGGATTTGGCACGGATGAGCGTGTCCAGTCCAGGTTGAAAGACCGGCATCCGCAGAAGGTCGGTCAGATCAGAGAAATGAGGCAATCTCAAGTAAAATATCACCCAGCCCCTGCGGCATCGGGGGCTTCAAATTTCGTCGCATCAGCTGTGAGCTCTAGGTCCGGGCGTCAGGAGTCTCATTAAGCGAACTGATACCAGCAGCTCAAACGATCCGGACTCGGGTAAACTGTGAACGGAATGGGCCATGTGGGTATCGCAACCAAGCCAGATGAGCTCGAAATGAGGATTTAGGTGACCGATAATGTTTCCTATGTCATGTGAAGACAATATAGCATGCTTAGTGAACATCGTAGCAAGCTGAGGAAATTTGGTAGTGATATTTGCTGCCCGTTTATGAAAAGAGATGGTAAGGAATACAGTGATGAAATCGGATGTACGGTAGGCTAGGCCACAGCCGGTTGGTGACTGACGCGCTACGTATGCCCTCATCGTGCATACCTGTCACCTTGGCCCTTTGCCTGCGTTAAGTTAAGGTCTCCTTTTCACAATGAACCTGTAAAATTTTTCCTGTAACAACGTAATGTCAAATAAGTGTAGCGCCCAGGTGTTCAAATACACAAGCCCTAATGGCGCGTGGTCTATGTATTTCAGGTCATCGGTGCGTTCCTGAACGAGCAGCGCGTGAATTCAGAGAGCGTTCTTTAACAAAGCCCTCACCCAGGAGTGAGATGCATGCATATCCTCTCAGTGCGCACAAGTGTAATTTTAGCATGCATCATTATCCGCTATGCTGCCTGCTTTGGCAGCGGTCACTGATTTATGTCGTGATAAAGTGCTGCTGCTGGTAAACACAGTGGCGAAACACTGACGCCAGTAGCTAATGCAGTCTCTCCTAAAACGCCCAGGTTAGGTTAGGTTAGGTTAGGTTAGGTAAGGTTAGGTACATACCCCAGTCTGGGCATCCCGGCTCTTCCGCACGAGAGATCTTGGCTCTCCTTGCCCGCTGACTCCAGATCAGCGGAGGCATAACGTGGTGAACCTCTAGCATTGTGAACTGGTGGGATCAGATGGAGAGACTCAGGGTAATGTTGGTTGGATTGTTAACGTGCATCGCCGTGCTCGCAGATTTGGCATTTTTTCAGTTTCATACGCTTTACGGGCACATCCAAGATGCTCTATTTTCCCGGACCAGCGAACGTAGTCATCACCGGTATTCACAAACATGATATGCGCACCTTCATCACGCATATCATGTTTATGCATCTGGGTGTGACAACATCCAAGTCCTGCCGTTTATTATGACCCTGACTCCAGCGCTGAGCGGCGTGGGCGCAGGGATGTTTTGCACGAGCCGTCCAGGTAATGAGACAGGTTCTCCGTTAATCAGAGCGTTCCATGCCTGGGTGTGAGATCGCACGACACCGACACCGGTTTGATCGCACGACACCGGCCAGCAGCAATACCTGGACTGTGTTTACCTTGAATGGCAGGGGACGCCACGAGCCTTACTCTTTTTCTAGAAGCACGAGATTCTACGCACACGTGACTTTCGTCCACCTGAACCAAGACCTACTGCAAGGCCTCTTTAAATAGGAAAAATATCTAAGCAATTATTGTATTACATAATATATTGCTCAGTGGTATAAATAAAAGAAGGCCAGGGCGTCTTAAGGTAAAGCCCTATGTTCATGGGCCGCAGCATAGCCGTGCATACACTTCTGTTCAACCGTCGACGACCGATGCTGACCACGTCGTCAGTCGATTACCGACAGTGAGAGGAGCAACTACACACTGTATGGATTTCCCGTCTCTGACCGGGCATCATGGCGGCCGTTCCTGCCATTGACAGACCCGTACAGCGCCGTAGGGCCTGGTCTTTAGTCGATAGCCAAGGACAATGAAACGACAATAGCATTCTCGGCACACGCTGTGCATGATCCGTTTAGCCAACAACATAACCCCGTTGACAAATCCGATGAACAGTTTTGGGGTTTGTAACTAAAACCCATATCCAAACCTCAGTTGCCGTTTTTAGCTGGAGAAAGTGCAAAATAAACGGTCATTTTAGCAATATATGAGCAACATCGCTGTTAACAAAGCATTCATTATACTGAAGTGTTCATGCAACACGAACAAAACGTAGTTTCGCGAAGAGCACGTACAGCAAAGGCTGCTTTCACTTTCCAATGCGCAATCGACAGTTAAACATTCATTGGGTAATATTGCATTTCTAGTTGCAAAGGTGAGCCCCGGGTATTTTTGAGTTCAGTATTATTATTTCCAATATGGTATAGTCTCATTAGATATAGACATTTATCAGCAGGCCTTAGACGCATCACTGAGAAGCGCACAGTATGCCTTTGCAGCATACTTGCAAAATGTTTTCCTGCGTACCTAATGGGAACTGAAATGAAATTTTCATGCCGCTGGAGGGAGATGAATTTCAGCGAAAAACGATAAAAGCTAAGTTGCACACGCTATTCCAATATGTGTTTGGGGGCTGTATCACGAATTTACATCCATTGCATACAACGCTGTGCCGTTACCCGTAAGTCTTCCACTTAATTTCGTAGTCTTATAAGATTCAGTAAGCTATGTAGGTATAAATTATATTCCATATGGTGGATCAGACCTTCCACTGTCAAGTGCACAACGTAACGAATGTTTGCTTGCAACATTGCAACACACTTTGCAATATGGATGGTACTCCTTTTTAGCTTTTAACATTGCAGGCAATGAATGAATTATTCTTAACTTTCACGGGGTCACACCTGAATTGATATAGTTCAAATTTTCAGTACCGAGTAAGTCATTCTTTGCGACATGGGTCGACATAAAAAAGGTCGTACCATGACACGGAGGAATAACATCAAGAGGTGTAGTTGATGCCAACAAAGGGCATTCAGCGGGCTGATAGATTCAATATCTGTGCATATTCACGACGGCACAACCTTCTATTAGATGCATGCCCTTTTGTAGGTCAATCAAGGTGAGTGACGGCAAGGCAGTGGACCTTGGGTGACCTAAGATTACCTTTATCGAGTTTGAGGAATTGCGTTTGTTGTTCCATGCATTCGCGAGGAAGATTTAAGGCTAGCTTAAAATCGTTTACTTGCGTAAGTGATGCCTGGCGTGCGATGTGCGATGCCCGCTCAACTGAAGCCGCTTACATGTAGATTTGATGCGCGATGTGCGAATGCCTGTTTACTTCATCTCGCTTGCATGTGTGAATGAAGCGTGATGCGTGATGCCTATATGCTTGAATTCGTATGCATGTACACGTATGTTTGCGCATTCTAAGCATTAGATAGGCGTTGTATCGTGGTAATGGCTGGAAGTCCGCTCTTTGCTTAATCCATTAAAGGCTGGTATCCTGTAAAAGCTGTGGCTTGCTGTTCCAAAAAAGAAACGAAAAATTGAGTAGAATCATCCGCAGACAACTTTGAAATCTACTTATAGTATTGTTTCGATAAAGGCATATGGCCAAAATATCAATCCAGCTTTATCTCCACTTTCCTGGTTTTTTCTCCGAGGAAGAAGGTTGTTCCTGCTTTTTTATCTATCTTTGATAAATCTGCCTCCCAAGGTTTTTGGCGATGTCCTCTTCCATTTCAAGGTCCGATTGCAAGGTGGATGTTTCGTGCTATATCAGTGTTTTGAGTGCCAAGCTCCGAGTATCTCAGATGACGGAAACAATTACCAAATGGATACAGCCATGATGTTTTGTGTGTTACACACTGTGAAGTGAGGCACATTGGTAGAACGAAACCCCGACGAAGGCACGACAAACAGTATACATATTCAGTCATGCGCGCATGCGCAACCACCCCAGAATGCGGCGCCCGGTCCAGCTGCACTCAGCGGTGCAGGGTTCGCCTACAGTGCCTCCGCACCATTCGCACTGCCCCGTCCTTAAAGTCTGAACATCGCAAGTATCTGGCAGCTATCCCATGATTCAGTTTTTCCTTAGGGTGCTGGAAAAACTTCGCCAGTGCACCAAAGTGCACCGCCTTCTCACCAACGTAAAAACACATCATGTGAGGATAGGGGTTCACCATCCTTTTCTGGAACACAACCAAAAAAAAACCCATCAGCTTAAGGCCTTCCGCCTCAAGGAGAGCAGTGCCCTCACTAGCTTTCACAAGTTGGAGGAATCCGACGTGAGTGAGTGTATTGCATGAGCGCGTCCCTCACGCGGCGACCTGTCTCACGTTTTGGCGCGCACTCTGCGAAATTTAACAGTGGCACTTGATTTTCAACTGTCACTTTTCAAGGAAAAATTAAACTAACGATCACAGAACCTCACAACAAATGCCGTTCTCACCTGTAAATACCGATTTTCTCCCAGCACACCTTCTTTGAATCTTCCTCGCAGCCTGCAAGCGTAATACCAGCACAATTTTGCTAGAAAACAAACGTAGCACGGTCGCCACATTTGCTGCTTGGCGCCCACAGGAGAGGCAGTATGAAATACCACTTTCTGTGTTTATTTCTCTTATGCTCACTGTTGTACGTGGAGTATTCGAGGGAAAACAATGCTAGCCGAACTTCCAGGCAACGAAATGAGTTATTTAGTAGTTCAAACGAAAAAAGATGAAAAGATTCACGCATCTACGAATAGATGACAGCTCAAACACGTCTGATACAATTCATTTAAGCGAATTCTCCAATGCGTCGGGTCAACGCGTTAGTCCCTAACGGCGGCAAGATACGTTCTGGGAGAAAATTAGCTCGTCGGCCCATCTTCTCCCTGGCAAATCTTCAAATAATGATGGGTGAAGTATATATATATATATATATATATATATATATATATATATATATATATATATATATTATATATATATATAAATGTGTGTGTGTGTGTGTGTGTGTGTGTGTGTGGTGTGTGTGTGTGTGTGTGTGTGTGTGTGTGTGGTGTGTGTGTGTGTGTGTGTGTGTGTGTGTGTGTGTGTGTGTGTGTGTGTGTGTGTGTGTGTGTGTGTGTGTGAGTGTGTGGTAAGGATGAGCTTTTCTGACTTACGTGGTATAGTAAGTAGAAGAAGTTTACCAGGTTTGTCCTCGTGGCACCTTAAAAGGCCGTGGATCGCGCCTGGAAGACGTCACTTCTGACGCACGCGCTCCAAACTCGTATGAGAGTCGAAGACGCACAGATCTGAAGTTGTATGACAAATCGGTCTTAATGCTGCCTACGTCTTTGAATGACAAATTTAAGACCTAGCCACGATTTTAGTCGTAATCGAGGGAATAAAACATGCGCACCAGCTTTGATGTCCCTCTTTCGTAGGCAGTCGCTCCCATGACCACATTGTGTGAGCTCTACGCGTCATTTGTAGTGGAACGATTAGCCAAACACCGATATGTAACCCAGACTGCCCAATGTCGGAAGATATATCGAGGGGATGTGAAGCAGGCCATGCACATCCCAAATTAATCACAGATTCCGCTGACGAGTTGACAGGCTTTACCCTCGAGCCTCCAGGTAGCAAAGTTTTGCCACGGGCTCGAGCGTTGAATAAAAGTTGCGCTAACGAGGCACTGAAGACGTTATGGGATACGCGGTATGGGGAAAAGTTTGGGAAAAGAAAAGCATAATGCTGTTGTGAATTGGGTGCGCTTCGATCGCTCGTAAACAAATCCAAAGCGGAAAATAAACACAAAAATGAATTCCTTGTCCCTAAAGTCAAATTGAATATTGATATAAAAGCATGAATATCACCCATTGCACATGCACCCAAAAGCTTTGGGTGCATGTCTTTTTTGTTATACACAAAAATGAGACCTGTTTTTGTCTCGTTTCGCAGAAAACGATTTCTGGTCCACTGGCCAATGGAAATAAAGTAAACTGCACTCTTATTTTTCTTTGCCATTTAATAATGATAATGTAAGAGCCAACCACCAAATTAGCAACACCTTTTGTCCGGTTACGCTTAAACAACAAAAAAACGCAATTCGCCCATCCGTGCGATTCAGCGTTTAAATTGGTTTGGTCCGACGGAAAATATGTAAGGGGATCTCCAAACTCCATTGAACTCTTGATGTCTGTTCTGCCGGGTAATGCGTTGGGCCCACGTGGTCGCTGGCCACCTTCGGGTCAGCCATGCCTCGAATGCTGGTGCGGCCGCGCCCGCCAACAGAATAATCCACTCCGATGTTGTTGCGTCTGTGGCGGCACCATGGCGGCGGACAGCGACAGTCGGCGGCGTTAGAGTGGTCCTCTCGGCAGGGGGCCGGGCCGGACCCGCTGCTCTTGTTGGTGCCCGCCGGTGACACCGGGCCGGGCTGGGTCGATGACAATCAGGTGGTGGCGAGGAGGGCGGGGGCGACGTATACCGGCGGCAGCAGGGCGGGCGTTACAAGGGGCAAGTTCCTTGGAGGGAAAGGTGGAACATGCGGGCTACGAAAGCGGGTGATCCTGGAAGTACAACTTACTGCAACCCAGGCAGATATGTTCCTGGTTGTCCTCAGTCCGATTTTTGATCAAGGTATTCCAAACAAAGTTTGTCACAGGTAGTTGGTTACATAGCCTACACAAATCTGGTTTAAGTTCTCTGTCATTTCTTTTGCAGCAGCTCTCAGGATGCTGTCTGGCAATTATTAGCAGCACAAAAAGGCAGTCTCAGCCGACTTGCCTTTGAATTGTGAAAGTGCACCCAACTGTGCTTTTAAGGAAATCGTGCTTACGATTTTGCGTTCAGATACGCAAAATGATGGAACATTTAGTGGAAGTAAACATATTAGAGAGTGAAATTATTTGACAGAGGAGTATGTACAGTGCAGACCAAGCAATGAAAAAAGACACGTGAAAACCATAAAGTGATTGCTTGAAGCGACACGATCTCGGAACATAGCTCCGCGGTGAAATCCCTGCTGACCTGCCTCCATGCCGCCAGGTGATGGAGGACGACGGGACGGCCGAGACGGCGCTGCTGAACTACCTGTACGCTCGCCAGATGCTGCGTAGGCTGCGCAAGAATCTGGACGTCTCAGAGCTGCAACAAAAGCGCTCCTACTGGAAGCAGTGCTCCTTCAACGCTGTCTCCTGTTTCGGCTAGTTGGCCGGTCGCCAACAGCGGCGCTCGCGCCGCCCCAGCCGGAGAGCCGCTTCCGGCGACAAAGGCGCCCTCTGTCTGTTGACCTGTTCCGTGGGATTCGATGCGTGCACGCCGTTCGCCATTGCCAACCTCATTTCCGACATGGCGGCTGCTTCGTGCTGGGGGTGAGCTAGGCGGCTGTGATGCTGGGAAGCTGCTGGCCTAGGGATTTCGAGCTATGCACTTCTCCCAAACGGCATCATAAGCTAAGTGGCATTACCTGGAAGGGTGTTGTAAATGTGCATTTATTTTCATAACTGTCTCAGCATGTGCATAAGGCTCCACTTAGCTCCAGTGAAAGGACATGGACTTAGGCACAATAGGTGTGTAATGAGCCAAATATTATGACCCCAGGTGGTTCTGCAGTGCATTCTGGGTGTAACCAGCTTGTTTTGCCAAAGCCATTACAGTTCTGTCTGAGGCCCTGGTTGTGCTTCTGGAAATACATAGCCGCTCTCTGAATATGACTTTCCAAGATGCATCATAGCGTTGCAAGTCGCATCATAGCGTTCCAGGCCTGCATCAATCGGCGTATCAGTATGGGCATGATGCCGCTGTTGGGCGCTCGGGGCGTACTTATTTGTTATTGTATATGCATGTATGCAATAATATATATATATATATATATATATATATATATATATATATATGTGTGTGTATATATATATATATATATATATATATATCAAAATGGCATAAAACATATATTGTGTATGCATATGCACTTAATTTTCTATGCATCGCCACAGGCGTAACGTCACCGACAACACGCCTTTTGCGGCGTTAGATGAGAGAGACGATAACAGGTGTTAAAGTCTGTTAATTGTCATCGCGTGGACGACGCCAAGAAGTCAAGCTATCGCAGCCTGCTCGACAACTGATGCACATGAACTTGATCGATGCGTTGCTATTGTCGGGCTGCCTGGCCTAGCTCCGAGGCCCTCCACTGACAGGGTGGGAGCTAAGCGTGGAACTTTGGCCCCGGGCGGCGCAGTGGTAGCGTATGTCTAGGTGGAATGGAGACCTCACTACGTTCTTTGGAGAAAGAACGTTGGTTAAAAACGTTGATTTTGCCACTTTTTGAAAAAGCGTCGGTGGCATCACTTTTCAAGCATTTTGCACACCTCCCGTTTGTCATGTAATATGACCGGTCAAAAAACACCGACGGTTATTCGAGGAAGCCGACGAGACGCGCTTGACGCGACAGTTTGAGGTAGCAGTCGCCCCCGTCCCTGACACCCGCGTCTGTCAACCAAGGGCTGCACCAGTCCTATGCACCACTCTGCATTTGTCACGGCCGACACCGCCGCCGACCACCGCCGATGGGAAGCTACAGCCGTCCCGGGCGAGCACCGCCGGCCCTGGCGGGGGCGGCATCACAACACAGCACGTCAGCTACCCGGGCCAGCACCGCCGGTCCGTGCGGGGGCGGCATCCCACACAGCATGTCAGCTACCCGGGCCAGCACCGCCGGTCCTGGCGGGGGGCGGCATCCCACACACAGCACGTCAGCTACCCGGGCCAGCACCGCCGTTCCTGGCGGGGGCGGCATCCCACACAGCACGTCAACTACCCGGGCCAGCACCGCCGGTCCTGGCGGGGGCGGCATCACACACAGCATGTCAACTACCCGGGCCAGCACCGCCGGTCCTGGCGGGGGCGGCATCCCACACAGCACGTCAACTACCCAGGCCAGCACCGCCGGCCCTGGCGGGGACGGCATCACACACAGCATGTCAGCTACCCGGGCCAGCACCGCCGGTCCTAGCGGGGGCGGCATCCCACACAGCACGTCAACTACCCGGGCCAGCACCGCCGGTCCTGGCGGGGGCGGCATCACACACAGCACGTCAACTACCCAGGCCAGCACCGCCGGCCCTGGCGGGGACGGCATCACACACAGCACGTCAGCTACCCGGGCCAGCACCGCCGGTCCTGGCGGGGGCGGCATCCCACACACAGCACGCTGGCTCGTGGTGCGGCGTTAGGCGCAGATAGCGAGGGCGTCCGACAGCTGCTGGCGTTATCTTAATCATTTTCTCCGATACTCTGCATATACATTCCGGGCGATGCCACAGCCGTTGAGCTCCTTCGAGCAGGCAACTGCCGCAGCGAAAGCGAGTCAGCGAAGCGGGGCTCCTGAAGTCTGCGAAGCTCGATCACGGCCAGGCAGGGTTTGTTCACGGACGGTCAATGTGCGGCTTGCGGTTCTGATGGTCTACTCCAGCTGCGGCCATCATATCTCTGAAATGATATCATGAAGCCCAAGGAAATACGTTCCGCGGCCCCTGTCCCCCCCCATATTTATGAGCTGATAATGGATGGATTTACGGCAGCTTACCAATCGCATGCTTCTATGAAAGGAGTGTGCGAGGTATTGACGTTGCATTTTATGTCTTCGTGCTTTCCAAATCGTGCGTCAAGCGATATCCATTTTCACGTAATGCTTGTTCTCAACTAAAACTAACGGTTTTGACTCGAGTAAAAGATACGAAAGGAGCTGAGCGGCCTGACAACGTCGTCACCAAGACCAGCTGTTATGTACGGTACCTCACACAGGGAACACATACAGTCAGTCGTGTATTACCGCCCGCGTGGCAGGCGGTGATGCACGACTGTCCGCGAGCAGAACAGTTCGAAAGCCACTCACAATGCCAGAATGAAATGCACCTGGGATGGGCTTTCTTATTTAAGTTCCGGATAGCAAACAATTCAAAATTATATGTTCCACAACACTGGCGTTGCTGCAGACACACCATGCTCTTGACCAGCGGTTCTCAATGTGTTAAGTAATTGCACAAAAAGCGACACCAATGCACATAACCTTACCCATGCTTGTGCGAAGTCCATGCCCGATCCATCCTTTAATCGTGGTACATTAAAGTTACAAAGTCGCCAAATGTCAAGATCATGGCACGTCATGGGGTGACATTAGATGAATTCAACATTGTAATGCCGAGCAACTTTAAATAACGTGAATACTGGTACGCCTTGACCCGAATCAGCTCGACTCAGGGGATATGAAAAGTTAGACACGTCCAAAGCGAAACTGGCAGAGTCCGGCCTGATCTGACAGGATAATCATGAAGTGTGGCTCACTATTACCGGAGCAAGAGCTATAAATCCTGTCCATGGCTGGTGACTGTTTAAATCTTTTTGGAATCGATTCTCAAAGTTACATAGAGGTGTAAGACACGAAATTGACCCTGGTAAATATCTTTCTATCACGAGAGCAAGAGCTGTAAAACACGCTTAAGGGTAAAGTCTGTTTGAATTCTTGCACTGGAAGAGTCATCTGCTGGGCCGTATCCCAACGTGAAAGCGGAGTCCCAGGGTCAGTCACGGATCAGCCTGCAGTCATACGATTCCGAGAGCTAAAGGCGCATCGTATGTAGGCAGAAAACCGCCGGATTAAGGCGAACCATCAGTCGGGGACTATCCGGGAAAATTTTTAACTCAGTCTGGAAGTCATTGTGAAGTCAATCAGGTCGCTAATCCATTTCACGGTGAAACTGTTATTAACCGCTGTGGAGAGGCGCAGCACTGCTCCGTGGATCGACTGTCCTCAGGACACGCAAACGATTAATAGACCCCCTTCGTATCTCGAGAGCCACGTGTCCGATCTGATCCCGGAAAATGACACCCAATTGCTTGAGATTCAAAGGACATTTCTGCACAACAAAAATTCGAGAGTTTGTAAAGGTCGGATAAGCGAGAGAAAACGGTGGGAAAACTACACATTTTCAGCATTTTTAGGGGGTAAATATGGTTTCACCAATTTATGTCGGTTTCATTGGGCCGACAATGGTATGGGATTGCATAGTATGTGTAATGTATTCCGTCCAAACAAACTCGATGGCGTTCCCAGGGGGCTTTTCACCTTTTAATGTTTTGTTGTTGAGGTTTTTCTTCGAGTTGAATGCGTCCTTTGGCGATGCGGACTACGGTAGATTCAGGTAGTCTGAAGCAGGTGCCCAATGGACCTAGCGACCAGGCTTCCACCATGACTGATTTCTAAAGCTGCCACTGTGATTTGGGAATTTGCCACAGGCGATCCCAGTTAAGCCCAGGACGAGGATATGGTCCGGTGAATTACGGAACTACTTATTACATGGCATGGGATTCCCTCACGATTCGCCAATG